GGCGGCGGGACGCTGGGGTCTGGCTTGAGGTCCCAGCGCCGCGCTTTCTGGGCTCCGGCCCGAGCTCCGGGAGCCAAGCCCCGAGCCCCAGCCCCCGTGCTTGGTGACGTCAGGCAGCTGGCCGCTGAGTCTACGCAAATGATTTGCATAATGAGGAAGCAGTGGCCAATCAGAGTGGGAATTGACCAGGCTCTGCCAGGGGCGGGAGGGGCGGCCGGGCTCACGCGCTGCTGCTCGCTATGGCAACAGGACCCTCTGATGCTCTGTATGTGTCGAGAATGTGCGGGCGTGGCCGTGGATGGCGCGTGTGCGCCTTGGACCGCATGAGAGGGAAGTAGCTTCGTCATGCGTGGTGGTATCTGCGAGAGTCGGAGCTAATCCCCTCCTCACACACAGGCAAATGCAGGCACACACACCTCCAAAAGCTGGAGCCTTTTCTGCGGAGGTAGATGGGGATTCCACTTCTCTTTGCCCACTACCTAAGCCAGTCCCACTGAGCAGATCCCGTCCCTCCCCATTACACATCTCTCTGATGTCCTCAACTATTTCCTTACTGCCGAGCTTCAAACGCACCCGTTTCCCCTGAATCCTAAAAAGAAAAGGAAGACTTTTTAAAGAAGAAAGAAAGAAAAAGAAACCCCCAAACATTCTTTGAACAGTGATTTCCTTCTCCAAAGAGTGAGAAAACTTATATTACCCTTATTTTTTAAGCACAGGTTACTAACGCACCGGGTGCCTGGTTCATTCCAATTTTGTGAGCTCGGGAGTGTTATTCCCCTTTTCCGGAAAAGGATGCTGAGATTTTAAGTGTCAAGGAGGTTAGTGCCAGACCCGCCCCTAACATTTGCTGGGCCTAAAGCAAGGAGGATATGGAAATAGACGTATCGAGTGTTTAAATATTTAAAAGCTATAAATCAAATTGCAATTTGTTACTATTGTATTTATGGATTTTATGTTTGCCTTTTATTTTAACAAATACACGTTCATAAAAACAAAAATGATATGTAAAGCTGTGTTTATTTTATTACGACAGAAGGTTGGGAAAATACCAGAACCAATGGATTTTTATTACTCTTGTACATGATTAGGTATTTTCTTGATGGGCCAGTGATTTGGACAAAGTAGCAGTAGTTTATAAATTATATATTTGTTCCGCAAAAGTCTTCTCTTTCAGTAGAAGTGCTAATTATATTGTTTTTTAAAAGTATTTTTTAGTTGGACACAATCTTTAGTTTGTTTTTATGAGGTGCTGAGGATGGAACCCAGTGCCTTGCGCAGGCCAGGCGAGCGTGCTACCACTTGAACCACATCCCCAGCCCTAATTTTATTGTTTTAATAGATTTAGCACAACATGTGATCATTGCTTCAAGAAATGCCCAAGAGCATCAGTAACAATCGGAATCATCAATTTTTTTTTATAGAGAGAGTGAGACAGGAGAGAGAGAGAGAGAGAGAGAGAGAGAGAGAGAGAGAGAGAGAGAGAGAGAG